AGGGTTCTGTCTTCGTATCCATTCTGCTAGTCTGTGTCTTTTTATAGGCAAGTTGAGGCCGTTGACATTGAGGGATATTAATGACCATTGATTGATGATCCTTGTTTGTGCTTGATTTATTGTTAGTGAAGTTATTTTGTGTAGTTTCTCCTCCCTTTTTCTTTTGGTGCTTTGTAAAGTGGGATTATATATTGCCTGTGTCTTTGTGAATGTAGTTATCTTCCTTGGATCTAGGTTTTCCTTCTAGCATTTTCTGTAGAGCTGGATTCATGAATATGTATTGTTTAAATCTGGCTTTGTCATGGAATATTTTGTTTTCTCCATCTATGGTAATTGAGAGCTTTGCTGGATATAGTAGTCTGAGTTGGCAGCCTTGTTCCCTTAGCGTTTGTAGGACATCTGTCCAGGATCTTCTGGCTTTCATCGCTTCCATTGAGAAGTCAGGTGTAATTCGGATAGGTCTGCCTTTGTATGTTACTTGGCATTTTTCTTTAGCTGCTCTTAATATTTTCTCTTTACTCTGTAGGTTTGATGTTTTGATTATTATATGGCGAGGTGACTTCTTTTTCTGGTCGAGCCTATTTTGTGTTCTGTAAGATTCTTGTATTTTCATAGGCATATCTTTCTTTAGGTTAGGGAAGTTTTCTTCTATGATTTTGTTGAATATGTTTTCTGTACCTTTGAGTTGTATTTCTTTGCCTTCTTCTATACCTATTATTCTCAGGTTTGGCTTCTTCATGGTGTCCCATATTTCCTGGATATTTTGTGTTAAGGATTTGTTGGTTTTGACATTTTCTTTGGTTGATGACTCTATATCCTCTAATGAATCTTCAACAGCTGAGATTCTCTCTTCTATCTCTTGTATTCTATTGGTGATACTTGCATCTGTAGTTCCTGATCGTTTACCCAGCTTTTCTATTTCCAGCATCCCTTGATTCTGTGTTTTCTTTATCGTTTCTATTTCAGCTTTCAATCCTTCAACTGTTTGAGTTGTTTCCTTAATTTTTTTGGTTGTTTTTTCTTGGTGCTCTTTAGATTCTTTGAGAGATTTGTGTATTTCTTGAATTTTTCCCCCATTTCATGGATTTTTTTGTTTGTTTATTCTTCTATTTCTTTAAGGGATTTCCTCGTTTCTTCTTTGAGGGTCTCCATCATCTTCATGAAATAATTTTTAAGGTCTGTCTCCTCTTCTTTGTCTATGTAGTGCTTTTCAGGTCTTGCTGGTGTTGGATCCCTAGATTCTGGTGGGGTCATGTTGGTCTTTCTATTGCTGAGTGAGCTCTTATTCTGTCTTCTTCCCATCTCTTCTTCCAGTGGGTGCTGGTGGGGTCTTTCCATCTCCACTGTTCTCCTTCCTTCCTGAAGCTGAAGCTGGGGATGCTGACACGGAGTTTGGGGCCTGGAAGGGCTGATGTCTTCCCTGAAGCTCGACTGGCTGGGGTTGTGGTCTTGGAAATGCTGATGTCTTTGCTGTGTGGGCGGGTCTTCTGGATGCCAGGAGTGGCCCCGAAGATCAAGGGATCAATTAGATTCTGAACTATACTGTGAATGATCATAGGAAACCTGAACATTTTGACATACTTTGATTTTGAAAGTGTACCAATCTTTGGGTGGCCCTTTGTTTGTACATACTTTAGAGGTAATATGAACAAATATGAGTTTTCATATTTGTCTTAGTGTTACTGTGTATCAAACGTATAGATTCAAACACACAACAGACACACACACCTCCACTGAGCTTCAAAATCCAAAAAATATGCATTTCAGGTAAACTAAGTGCAGAACTCTCCCTCCAGTTTCAAAAGTGTGCAATTAGTTTGCATTATACAAATTGTCTCTTGTCACAGCTTACTTGCTGGAATTTATTCAATCTATTCAGTATCGTGTTTTCATCAGAGAACTCTGCAGACGTTCTCCATCTCCCAAAATGATGGTACTATTCTGAGGGCTCCTACAGAGACTCATTCCTCATGCAGCTAGAAGAAGCAATAGCTAGAGGCTGCCCCATGGTCCTGATGACACAGACAAAACTCTATCATCCATCATTTCCTGTTAGGGTAGATTAGAAATCGTCTGAAATATTTAGCCAAAACCACTGTTTCTCTATCAAATTGTCAGATGGCATCTCTGCAGTGAGCAAACGTGATTGACATGGCAAGTGGGTACCACTTCATCACTGCTCCAAGAAAAGTGGCCCTGGGCTAAGCAGACTTATGGAACTTATGCAAGGGCAAATTAAAGAATCTGGAGCTATAGTTTACAGAAGGCCCAGAATAAGATCAGTCTAATGAGTCTTTCTAATGGGAGGTCACAAAACCAGAATGTGCATAAAAAAGCAGACATCAAGGGCTCTCATCAAGAGGTTTCTGGTGGTATTAAATACTCTTCCCAAGAGTCAACTGGAAGCATCCACATTACATTATGTCAAGGCATTTGGATCCATTCTCTGAAAAGTTCATTGATGTGAAATTAAAAATAGCGGGATAGTTTATAGAGTTGTGGAAATACTTTACAAATCATTACCCTTAAGGCTGTGACATTGTTATTATTAATGTTTTTAGCAGAGTTTGCAGGGATATTCAAGTGTAAAAAAGTTGGGAATACCTGGATCCACCCATCAATGCTTGAGGAGAGTGGGAGAACTGTCCCTCAGGCCATAAGGGCATAAGGACAGGAGAGCAGCAGTCCATGTCTCCCTAACTCTGGGCATCTGCAAAGCTCAGGGGAGCAGACCTCGACCCTCCTCTAGGCAGCAAAATGGAGCTGAACCTGTTGCCAGAGGTGTGGGTGAGAACTACCCATATTATTTACCTAAGAGCAAGAATGGTAGTGAGCTAGCTCTGAGGTCATAGGGGTGAGACAGCAACCCCTGTCCCCCACCAGCTGAAAAATTATGCAGGAGATGTTCTGCAAATCCACTGGGCAGTACAATAAAGCCAATGCTTTTGGCAGAGCCATCTCTGTATCTGTGAGCAAGGGAAAACTCTCCCTGTTACTCATTTATAAAATGACGAATTGAACAGTAGTGAGATGCCCTTTACTTCTGCTCCAAACACACATTGCCAAGCCCATTATTGCCCCAGCCTTCAGTATAGGAGGTCCTGCCCCTCGTCAGCTGCAGCACTCCAGAGCCAGACCCCTATGCCACACCTGAACAACATGGTAGAACAGCTGCTGCAGGTGTGGGTGGGGGAGATCTGACACAGTGTACTTGAAAGTAGGGGAATTGGTCCTGTCCTTTGCTCAGCACTGCAAGGGGTGAACATTCCAGAACAACACAGTCATATCACTGTGCTGGTGAGTATAAAGGAGAGCTAGCAATCTGAAAAACCCTGCAAATACCTAGGCCCAGAACCAGGCATATGAGTTGACCCACCCAAGCTTCCACATCATCTGTCATCTACTGGGACCCCAACCTGCATGATCTCCACAACAGAGTAAGCCAGCAGGATAATAAAGAGTGGTTCCTCTGACACCCAGCATCAACAGCATAGCTGAAACCAGAGGCCTTGAAACAGACCAATGACTCTGTTCAATGAACACTTACTTGCAAGTAAAGATATATGGGGAAAGGAGTCTGGTCATGGACGAATGATTTGAAAAATGAATTCCTTACCTAGTTATTTCTTTTTCTAGTTCACTGATGGCTTTTTTCCCATCCTCCAACCTACATGTCAATGATTGAATTACTTCATTCTGGAAATAAAGTACATATATGTATTCATATATATATATATATATGAATATATATATTTTAAAGAATTGTATGATTTTAAATGTATCTTTATCACAGCCTCTCTTCTCAAAAGTCAGTGAGGACTATGGAAGAGGAGATGTAAAGATTGCAAGAGTACAAGACAGTGGATTATGCAAGAGTGTTTCCTGAATACAGCAGCACAGTACCTTCTATGAATTCACAGCTGTTCAGATAACATGCAGAAGACATGTACATGCTCATGGCCAACAGAATTTAAACAAGGAGGGGAGTTGGCTACAAATACCCACCCCTAGCCAAGAGAGGTTGGCATTAATCCATGGGAGAAGGATGAATGATTTTCTTTAAGGGTAGAATGTTTTGGGTTGTCACCATCCAGTGGATACTACATATCCAAACATGTATGTGTAGCACAAATTGCACATAATGAGACAAATGAAGGAATAAAACATGCAGCTGAGTGTTTGGTGAATGAAAGTACATAGGAGATGTGTTGGGGGATGGTCATACATTCTGAAAATATAGAGTAGAAAATTCTTAATTAATTATTTAATATAAGAATAGACTGCACTCTGGGAAATGTGCTTGTCTAATGATCTAATACTTATTCTTTAAGACAGCTCAATATTATCGATAATTATTACTCGAGATATCACATTCAGGCTTAGGTTACAATGAAATCCAACTTTTTCATCAAATATTTATATCTTTTAGTTATACATTATGATGATGTATTGGTAGGGATCAAAAATTCAATTTGACGTTAGTTTTCTACACAGCATAGTTATCAGTAGCCAAACACTTGAAAACTAAGAGTTCACCAAAGGTTAAAAGGGTAAGCCAACTATGAGTGTAGACAATTGGAATGTTTATCATTAATTACTTAACACCTGTAGGACATGGTACCTTTTGTTTCTTTTTTAATCCCAGAAATCTGGAAGTAAAGTACATCACTGCATGAATCTGGTATTAGCCTGGGCTACACAGTCACTTTCTCAGATTCTAGCCTGGCTTCATAGCCCCTGTCTCAAAAAAACTAATCTTATCATCAGAGTAATAAATTTTACAGATTCACAGAACTGTAAGTTCAGAGAATTTAAACTACTATTCACAAGCATTTACAATATGAATATATCAAATATATGACCAGGGAGAATATTCATATCTCCAAAAATATGGCTGTATTCTACTGGTAGACACAGGAAATTTTCATCTCAGTATTTCATAAATTAATACAAAATGGGCTTAACAAATATGGACTTACTTGGGTTGTCTGACACCCTTTACTTTCCTCTGCTTGATGAATTGTTGTTGCTTGTAAATTTTCAAGCTTAAGCCTAAAATCAGAATGAGTATGTTTACTTCAAACATTTGAAAACACCCAATTAGATTCTGAGCAATACTGTGAATGATCATAGGAAATCTCAACATTTTGACATACAGTGATTTTGAAACTGAATCACTCTTTGGTGGCCCTTTGTCTGTACACTTTTTTAGGTAATGTGAACAAATATGAGTTTTCTTACTTGTCTCAGTGGTACTGTATATCAAACTTACAGATTCAAGCACACAACATATACATAACCTCCACTGACCTTTTACAACCAAAGAAAACCATGCATTTCAGGTAAACTAAGTGCAGAATTTTCCCTCTGGTTTCAAAAGTGTGCAATTAGTATGAATTATACTAATCCTCTTCTTATGGCAGGCTTAATGGAATGCACTCAATCTATTCAGTACAGTGTTTTCATCATAGAATTCTCCAGATGATCTCCATCTCCCAAATTCACGTTGCAATTCTCAGTGTTCATACAGTGCCACATGCCCCATGCAGCTAGAAGAAGCAATAGCTAGGTCCTTCCCATGGTCCTGCTCTGACAGACAGAACTTTGTCATCCAGCATTTTCTGTCATGGAAGACTAGAAATCCTCTGAAAAGTTTAGCCAAAATCACATTTGCTCTATCAACTTGACTTGTCAGGTCGCATCTCTGCAGTGAGGAAACATGAATGACATTGGAAGAGAGTGCAACATAATCACTGCTATAATAAAATTGGCCATGTTATCATTAGACTTCAGGAATTTATTAAGGGGCCTATGAAAGAATCTGAGGCTATGGTTTACAGAAGGCCCAGAATAACGTCAGCCTAATGAGACATTCTGATGTGATTCATGATACCAGAATGTCCATAAAAATACAGGCATCTAAAGCTCTGATCATGAGGTTTCTTGTGCATTTAAATATTCTTACTGAGAGTCAATCTGAAGCATCCACGTTATATTCTGTCAAGGATTGTGGGTCCAGTCTCTGAAATGCTCAGTGATGTGGAATTAAAAATAGTGGGATAGTATATTGAGTGGTGAAAATATTTTACAAATCATTACCCTTAAGGCTGTGACATTGTTATTCTTCTTGTTTTTAGCAGAGTTTACAGTGATATTCAAGTGTAAAAATGTTGAGCATGGGAGATCCCATACCTCACCCCACTCATCAATGCTTGAGGAGAGTGGGAGAATTGTCCCTGAGGCCATAAGGGCATAAGGACAGGAGAGGAGTAAGCCCTGTCTCCCTGTCTCTGGCCATCTGCAACTCTCAGGAGAGAAGACCTCATCCCTCACCTGGGCAGCAAAATATAGTTTCTGGCAGAGGTGTGGGTGAGAACTGCCCCCATTAGTTATCTAACAGCAAGAATGGAAGAGAGCTAGCCCTTGCCCTAAAGTCATAAGGATGAGACAGCTGCCTCTGTTCCCTGACAGCTGAAACGCTATGCAGCGGACATACTGTACCTCCACTGGGCAGTGCAATTAAGCCAATTCTTGGCAGAGCCATCTCTATATCTGTCAGCATGGGAGAACTATCCCTGTAACTCAACTATAAAACAGTGGCTTGAGCAAAGGAGAAATACCCTTTACTTCTGCCTCAAAACCCCTATACTGAGCCCATTAATTCTCCAGTAGATCCAGTCCTGCCCCTTGTCAGTGGCAGCACTCCAGAGACAGGCCACTTTGTCACACCTGGACTACACAGTAGAGCAGCTGCTGTATGTGTGGGTGTGAGAGATCTGACACAGTGTACGTGAAAGTAGGAGAACTGGTCCTGTCCTTTGCTCATCACTGCAAGGTGTGAAATTTCCAGGACAACACAGGGAGATCACCATGGTGGTGAGGATAATGGAGAGCTAGCAATCTGACCAACCCTGCAACTACCCAGGCCCAGAACCAGGAATATGAGTTGGCCCACCCTAGTATCCACCCCATCTGTCATCTACTGGGATAAGTAAATGGACTTGTCCCTCCTGTATCCTCTGAGGATGTGTATAAAGCAAAGAAGAGGAACATTATGTTGGAAAAAGTGTAATGACATGAAATTGCAGAAATCAGTAATAGGACATACTTAATGAGAGAAGTACCAGGAAGTTAAGAGAACTATAGCATGAAACACACCCTGCATACTACCAACAACATGACAAGAGCCAGTGCTGCCTAAATCTGCCAATGGTCAGATGAGATCACCATGTACCCCAGATGCTGCATATGAAGCTTTAGGATTTAATATTTGTCCTATGGGGTTTCCATCTTCTCTGGGAACCATCTTCAGTAATATTTTCCTGTCTTTGTCTTTTTGTGTGCATTATGAAATAGCCATAAAACCTGTGTAACCTTTCCTGTTTAGATAGACTTAAAGCTAAGAATTTGACTCAAGTTTCAGATAAAACTTTGGATTTTGGAACAATGTGAACACAGTTCAGATTAACTGGTCTTTGAAGCTGGACTAAGTAAAGTCTGTATTATAAGATGACCATGAGCTTTTGGAGGTCAGTGGTAAAATGCTATGGTTTGAATCTGAAGTAGTTTGCACATTCTTATGTTTTGAAGCTTAGCTCCATAGATTTTAACACTGTTTTGAATGCAATTCATCATTTAGAAGGTGGGCCTGGTTGGTGGGACTCAATCAAAATGGCAGGCCTTTAAGGTTTTTGCTGGCCCTGGATCCAATTTCTTCTTCCTGCTTCCTGTCTATTGTTCTATGAGAAAGCCACAGACAAAGGTACTCCAATGCCTTGTGCTATATGATGGACTGAAATCTCTTGTAACCTATGAACAACCTACAGTCTTTTTTAAAGAAATAGGAAAATAACATTATATTCTGTGAGTCTCTTTGGTGATCATCAGCCACTGATCCATGAGGTGGGGGCAGAAAAAAGTTTATGGGGGATGACCTTCTGTATAAATCTTTCTCTTATTAGTTGGCAAATAAATCATGGATTGGCCAGTAGCCAGGCAGGTTGCTTGTGCGGGGCTACCAGATGAGAAGAATTCTGGGGAGAAGGCAGAGAAAGTAGCCACACAGAAACACTGTGTAGACACTGGGAAGATAGAACATGCCAGGAGTTCTCTGGTAAGATAAGGCCATGTAAAAATACATACATGGGTTAATAATTAAGAGAGAGCTAGCCAGTAAGAAGGTTGAGCCATCGGCCAAAGAGTTTATAATTAATAGAAGCCTCTGTGTGTTTATTTAGGGCTAAACCACTGTGGGACCAAGCAGAACCAGAAACCCCAACTACAGAAAGTGAGCAGGGTCAGACTGCCTGAGGGACTGTAAACATAGCTCTCCATAAGACAGCTTCAGTGAGTCAGCTCAGCTTTGGCAGCTGGGGAATCATCTAATTTGCATTAAACAGCAGGCTCCTATCGTAAAGTTCCTAGTATAAGTCTTAATTACCTTCTGTGGAAGAATGGTTCAGTCATAAAGCTCCTAGTACAATGTCTAATTAACATATGGGCAGCAGTGGGGAGCTCCAGCAGGGATTTATGCCAAGGATCACATTAGAGATAAATCAGGCACCCAGGCTTAGGAACAGTTTTCAGGTAAGGCCAGGCCTCCTCCAGGCCTAGAAATCTTCTGCAAATAAGGGCAGGTAGAGAGCAGGAAGCCTCACTGGGATGGGGGAGTTCCTTCATGTTGCCAAGCTCTGAGAAAGCTGCTAAGCCATGGAAGACTGCAACCTCTGACCAGCAGGGCCTCCCAACAATATTCTCCATCATAATGTCCACCTACACATCATGCTGATGTTTAATTAGATAGAACACATCTAGCCCTTCTTCTTTTGCATGTTGCTATGACTATGATAAGCTACACCTATAAAGTCACCTCAGCAACTGCAATAGGGATGTCATTGTCCACAATGCCTAGTGTCACATTACCTGGACAATTTCAAAACTGTTTATATAAATGAACTGCATTTGAGATCCTCATGTGGCTGCTAGAATCTAAATAGTATAAAAGGCACAAATCAAGTCCAGCAGCATCTTTGATACATGAAAAGCTTGAGATTTTCACTTAATGTTGCCCTGCAGAAAGGTATACTGATGGCCTACACTATGGGACACCTTATGGTAATATCTGCAGTTAAAAATAAGATGACAATTACGGTACTTTAGCTAAAAACTAATGGGAAAGACAGACATGAACACAAACATTACAAATTCAGATGACACTGAAATGAAATCAAGTTTTGACATCAAGTAAACATGAAGGAATATGTCCTAATGGAAGAGATGCATAGGCTTGACACATGAACAAGAAATAGGTGACCAGTGTGAAGAGGACATTGTACATAGTCTACAGCAGATGCCCAGGCACTACCACCTTCCAGTTGTGACAAAGATTGAATAACAGGTCCTTGTTTTGACACCAACCTGAAGCAACACAACTCAAATCAGGGAAAAATATGTTTAAAGACTGAAATTCTTCTGACAAGGAAGAAAATTGTCCCTATTAGGCATAAAAATAATTACATTCTATTACCCTAATTTTCTATCACCCTGCTATGAGATAGCTCAGGCTTTGTTAGGATGTGTAGAGGATACAGGTGTTCAGACTCTACCAGACTCCTGGAGCTGAGGTGTTAAGTTATTTAGTGAAATAAGGCAGATCAAAATCACAGGACAGAACTCAAGAGAGGAAGGAACTGAAAAGGGGGGGATGGATGCTCTGAGATCTAAAGAGGCCACCTTGGACATACTGCAGAGTACCCAACAACACAGACATTACAGGAAATGACCTGGGGCTGAGAGACTCAACATTTGACACAAATAAAGTGCCAGGAAGAGTACGACTCTTCCCATAAGTCAAGTTGAATGAGTCATAATTCACAGGACTGTAGTAAAGAGAAAGGACTTGCTTCAGTCATCGAGAATGAGCTATAGGAGGATGCATCTAATGTATAGCAAAGATAAGTTCTGTGCTAGTATACACAACAAGTTATAGAAACAATAATGGAAGAATCAAACTATGTATAAACAACATTCACCAATAATAAAATGAGGAAACATAGGTACAACATGAAAGATAATTTTAAGCAAACTTCTCTTGTAGAGATACCAACTCGCAGACATCAGATAGCATGACTAACAGCAACCTAGTGAGATCACCTTTTAGCAACACAAATAGATCTGTGCACTCTCATGAGACTATTTGAATCCCCATTTACTGATGGGACACATAACTAGAAATGCATATCACGAGTGCATGGGTCACTGTTAAATAGTTTAGCATTTACTACTATAAAGACACACAGATTCTCTTTTCATCTTAAGTTAACAAAACTTGAGTGATGTTACAGTCTGTGCATAAGGCAAGAATGTAAACAATGCTAAGATGCATAGCTACAATACTGAATAAATTTCATTGCCACTTCTTGTTGCCACAGTAGTAAGCTCAAGGCTTATGAGAATATAAAGAAAAAGTCACATGATGTGAATAACTCATATATGGACAGCTGTTCCTTTCAATAAATTGCCCACTATATTAAGTGACTTCCCATTATTTTTATGTATCTCTCACAATATATATGGTATATTAAAAATGGAAAATCTATCTGTAGAAGATGTTTAGATTGTTGGCCTGACCTCCACTTGTCGGCCAGTTTAAAAGATTAAGTTCTTGGAGAATGAAAACATGTGCATGTATTTTACCATGCAGTGGAATGGCATTCTTGACACAAATTCTTCATGTATAAACCTTTTATCAGTAAACACATGAAGTTAAAATGATGTGAAATGTGTGAAAGGATATCAGGAAGAAGGTCTCAGTCATTTAAGTTTTTACTATGCAAGCTATCCAAATCTGAGTTTAGATCTTTTTTTAAGTTATGCATGATGGCACATCCTGCCATCTTAATACTGGGAGGCAACGACAGGAGGACACTTGAAGTTCATTAGCTTGCTAACCCAACTGAATTAGGGTATGTCAGGCTCAATGAGACATGCTGTCTCAAAAATTATAGTGGAGAATAGAGAAAAGATGCCTGGCATCAAATAACATAGGTACAGGTACAGATATGCATACACATGAATGTGCTTGCATGCACACATGCACACACACACACACACACACACACAGATGAACACATGAACACCAATACCCCCAAAATGGTAAAAATATACAAGTGGATAAAAATTAGATCCAACCAGGGTTATGAGAGGTATCTCAGTGCATAAGAGCATTTGCTAGTTGTCTGAGCATAGGAACCTGAGTTCAAATCTCCAGCACCCATATAAAAAGCTGCATAAGATCATACATGTGCAGCTGGAATCCCAGACTTTGAGAGCTTGAGACAAGAGGAGTGCCGCTAGTATGCTAACCTAGTTTCAGCTTCAGTGAAACACTACCCCAAAGGAATAAGCTACAGGATGATAGAGCAGGATACCCAAAATTCTCCTCTGGTCTATACATGTGCACAGGTACACACGGCCTAACACCAGATGTACTAACACACAGGTGTGCGCATGCACACACACACAAGAAAGCTAGATGATGTTTTAATTAATTTTTAATTTTATATGGTGTGGGCAGAACCACCATGAAGAGCTTTAGCATTCTTTATCAAAGTGACTCTAGCGAGCAGCTTCATTCATCCAGCCCAGGGAAGATGCAAGAAAAAGGCACAACCTACTTGTGAGGAACTAAGTATACCTCAGTTATGTCCACCAGTGACTGGTATTAGATTTCTCATCACCCAGAATCCTGGGCAATTAATTTATACATTATGTTGGCTGCCTAGTCTGAACCCTGTTGTTTAACATGTAACCTACATGCTAAACCACATAACATGCTAAATCACAACAAAAACACAGTGAGCTACCCACATTCACTCACTGAAGCTCAGTGGGCTTGGTGTCAGCTCCTGCTGAGACTAGCTCTCACTCTTCAGTGACATGGACAACACTCTAATACACCCTTGTCCTATCGGGCAGCTCTAAGCAGTGTGTACTCATCTCTATCACACACACACACACACACATACACACACACACAAACACACATGTGCAGCACTCTTACCTTTGCTCTGCTTCATGAGCTCTTCTATGGGTGACAAGATCTTGTCAAAATGGAGCATCTCACAGTCCTCTGAGTTTCTTTCATGTGGGACAAATGTATTAGGGCCAAACTTATTAATTACTTCTTTGACCTACAAAATGAGTAGTAGCAATTTCAGATGTCTATAGATTACTTATACTAAACACTAAAGATGTCGGAAGTATCCAATTTTTATGTTACCAAACAGATATTCTGGGTGTAGTTTTGCACACTTTTAATCTCAAGACTGAGAAGCTGGTGAATATCTATGAGTTCCAGGCTAGTCTGGTCTAAGTAGTGAGTTTCAGGCCAATCAGGGATACACAGTGAGACCTTGCCTCAACAACAACAAAAAACATAGATATATATTCAATAGAAAAGATATCTTTACATTGCTTACTCTTTCATTTTTCTCCTCTTTCTTTTGTATTTAAGTTAGAAACAACCTTGTTTCACATGTCAATCCCACCTCACTCTCCCTCTCCTACTCTCCTGCCCTCCTCCTCAGCCACTCCAAGGTCACTTTTTCTTAATAATCTTTTTCAAAATGTCTACCTATGACTAAAAAATACAGTTTTTATATTTTACTCTCATAATTCATTTTTAAATTGATGATGTATTGGCTTGTGTTTTACACTGTATTTTATTTAGGCTATTTTAAATTAATTTTTCCATACCTTATTCTTTGCTTTGGAAGTTTTCATCACAGACCTACAAGAACATAAAATCATTTCAGAAAAATATCAAATGTATTAAACACAAATTCCAATTTTCCTTCTTTCCATAATATGTTATGACTATTTGAACTACAATGACTACATATGCAAGAATAGGATTGTAAACTGGATGAGAACGAGCAATCAGAAATGTATTATCACTACCATCATCATAAAACGAAAAGTTTTAGTTCATCATCCTACCAGTTAAGGCAAAAATGCGTTATTTTAAAGAAATAAATACACGAAGATTTCTACTCTAATTTTCAGCAAAAATATTTTTGTCAATAAAACTCATTTTAAAATAGTATTTTCTTCTCTATATGTGGTGAACACTTAGTGACAGAACATAAGGCGGTTTTTCCTTGGCAACTGTGACTCAGGTGATACTCACTATTCTAGGGACTGGGCTTGTGTTTCACTTACTTTAGTTTTCACAGCCTATTAGCAACTGTGTAACGGTAGAATATAGGCAGAGACTGGCTGTGTTGCCAGAGTCCCAGCAGCTGGCTGAGTGAAAGATTTAGAATTCAAGTCCAGAAGTTCCATATTATATGGTGGAAAGTAATAATCTTCAGATGACTTTCAGAGACATAATAAAAGATTAATACATATTATCATCCTATTTTATTATAATTACAGCTAACAACATAGGATTGTAAATAATTTTGGGAGTTCCCCCATCCAAGTATTAACCACAGATGACCATGCTTATCTTCTGAGAGCAGGTGAAATCCTGCTCATTTAGTGTCATATGGCCATAGACTAAGTTTTTTTTCTGAGAAATTGTCTGTGTTGTCAAAATTTCCAATTTTCCTGCCTCAGAAACCACCATGCCCACCTTGAATTTTTTTCAAAAGCTACAGGATGGAGCTGATGACAGCTCAACTGGTAAAGTCTTCCCTTTACAAACCTGAGGACCTGGGTTCAACCCTCCAAAGGACAAATTAGAAAGCGAGGTGTGGGGTGGGTGAGATAGTTCAGTGCTAAAATCTCCCATGGCCAATCGTGAAGACGTGAGTTCCATACTCACGATGTACACAGTGGCATGAGAAAAGTGACTTCCGCAAATTGTCCTCTGATATACACATGCATACTGTACACACACATGCACACAAATACATTTTAAAGCAATAATTTTCTTGAAACTTGCATGTGGTCATGTGCACTTGTAATCAGTAATCAGTCCTGTGGAGACAGAAACGGCAAAACCCCTGGAGCTTCCTGGTGAAATCCATGCCAATGAGAGGCAGTGTCTCAATATTGTGGACTGGCAGGTGACTGTTCTTTGGTCTCAAAATTCATAATTAGATACATAAACAATCATAAGACTACTTTAACTTAGGCAATTTTGGACACCTGCTTACTAAACTAAGTTGTCACTTAATAAATTTACTTGTTTCATCTGATTAAATTATAGCTACTCATGATGATACTATGAAATCCATTACTGAATAGTTAAATTACATTCTGCATAGACAATGTACATATTTTCTTACACATAATTTTTGCAATGAATAGGGATATGATTTTTATTTTTGCATCAAGCTACTACTTTTTTCAAAATTGACAATGGGAAATATGAATTTGTAATTTTTAAAAATCTATGTGTGATAGTTCATTTTTGAACTTACAGCTTCTATATTGAATTAGATGAAAATATTCCAACCCAACAATAACCTCTTACCATAGAAATACAAGTATGAATATAAGTTCCATGGACCTTGTCTATTGTATATCTCCCAAGGCAATGTATTAAGATTTTTAAAGTTAGACATGAAAACATAACAAAATGAATAAACATGCTCTTCTCTGCTAGATCTGTCTGACACCATGCAACCATATTCTAAAGTTTTCATGTAAAAACTTTAAAATATATTAGTCTATGAATGTGAAAACTTCAGTATTTTTATGACTGTTTAGAGAACCTACAAAATTTATGATTTCACCATGTATATCCACACCCTAAGCATACACACATATGAAACATATTGTTATAAGTATGTTTGTTATGTATATTATATACCCTTGATATGTACATGTAATATATAGAGTCACCTGTAGTATAAAACACATAAATATCTTTAAAATCATGTGTACATATGTCTTCACTAGCAATATTTTTCCATCTCAGAATGATCTACTTCCTGAGTAAACAATTACTTCCTGAGTAAACCCAAGGAACCCAGTGACAGAGAGAGAGGAGTGATGAGCAAATTGGCAAAGAATGGGCTGGCAAAACCAGCAGAGACAGCTGATCTGAACAGGGGAGAGCTCTTGGACCCCAGACCGACAGTGGGGAGGCCAGCATGGGACTGATCTGGACCCCCCAAATGTGAGTGTCAGCGAGAAGGCCTGGGCAACCTATGGGGCCCTGAGCTGTGGATCAGTGTCTATCCCTGGAATACAAACAGTCATCGTGTGCCTATAGCACAAAGAGGGATGCTCTCTCAGCCTGGACTCTTAGAGGAGTGCCTGGACCCTACCCAGAGTGAAATGACAGACTCTAGATATCCCCTATGTGGAAGGATTTGGCGATAGGGTGGGAGGGTGGCGGGGAAGGGGAGTGCGGGAGGAGGGGAGGAAGAGGGAACTGGGATTGACATGTAAAACAAGCTATTTAAAATGAAAATAAAAAATGATAAAAAAGAGTAAAATATTTGAAATTCTGATACATGCCACACATGTATCACTGATTTCAATGACAGTGATTGAAATGCTTTATTCTCAAATTTGCCAACCCTGGTTGCCATTTTAATAAAACATGTCAGAAGAATGGGAAATAATAGCATCTGGTTGTTGATTAACATTTTATGATAATGCAAGACAGAGTGTCCCAGGTGTAAGAAGTATAGGAAATGTTCATCAGGCACACAAGCTTCAGTGGAGAATAGGGTCTGCTGTTCAATAATCACTGTAGCCTTACCCATGCTCTACATGGTTCTCCACTTGGTCTTTAGCCTTTTCATCAAGTGCTTGAAGAACTGAAGTTGCAGCACCAAAGTTCAGGTTTTCTGATGTATCTACCTCATTGACATTGTGCTTCTCAGTTTTTTCTGTGACATTTGATAACAGTTTGATATTAAGAATAACTAATTTTAATTTTTAAAAAATATTTTATGTGTATGAGTGTCTTCTCTGCATGTATGCCTGTGCAGTATGTACAGGTCCCATGCTCTCAGAAGACAGAAGGTGGCATTTAATCCCATGGGACTGGAGTGACAGATAGTTGCCAACCACCATGTGGGTGCTGGGGTCTGCTGAAAGAGTAGCCAGTCCAGTGATCATAACTGCTGATCCATCTCTCCAGCCCAATAACTGATGTTCTTTAATATAAAAACTTTTCCATTAATTTCACCACTTGACTCATTATTTTCCACCATTTTCTTTCATGAAAACTACGTTGTGGGGTGACGGAGCCTTTCGATGCTTAAGAGACTTTCATGTTCTTCCAAATGGAACAACTTCGGTTCCCAGCCCTCAGGGCCAGCTGCTCACAACTGCCTGTAACTCTAGCTCCCTCTTCTGGCCACCTTAGCCACATACAGTTGTGGAAGACAGACATACACACAAATAAAAATAACTATATAAAATAGAAAGCACAACTTTATATTGAGTTTAACTGCATCATTACATAGCATCAATACTTATATAATTTGACTTGTTTCTGTTTGATCAAAAAGAAAGAGCCCACTGCTAAATGGTCATGTTACCAAACAGCCTTCTAAATATTAGTGTTTATACCCATATATCTGTGCTACTCTCAAGCCCGGTTAGTGTTGGAACAGAGTCCAGAAACTGAGTTGTGCGAGAATGCTGAGGCTCATAAGAAAACAGGACAACAGCCTTGTGACCTCATTTTCATCAAAACACATAAATATTCTGGGAATGTGTTTCCATGCTCCCCCTAAGGGTAGCAGATAGGAGTGAGTTTATTTCAGGTGTTGTTATTCATTAGCCTCTATGGAAATACGAATTTTTGTCATGTGTGACTTGTCCTTGTGATTGAACACCTTACTCATGTGATTTTTCTTAGGCCTCAGAGTATAAATTGCCTGATTCTCTGAATAAAGTGGATTATTGCACAAGACTGTAGTCTGCCTCATTTTTAGGCCCAGCTCTCTCAGGTTCATGCTGCCAACTAGAGCAGCAACAAGTGAGAGGAGCTTCTTTATGCACGAGCATCAATTATTGCAGAAACTTAGACTTGCTCAAAGTGCCAAGAATAGAACACTGTGCATACTCAACCCTAAGTGGGGCATCTATAACATGTCCCAAGCACAGAGAACAGTGAAGACAATCTGAATTGGGAAACATAAGTGCCAGAGAACAGGGAAGAATGTTTTCTTCTGGACGTAAGATAGTTGTTATAGTCATGAACCCAAAGCAGCTATGGTTACCGGCACATGACTTGTAGAAAATAAAAGTAGTCAAAAGTACAGAATTACAGGAGATTGGCTCATGAGGCCCCACCCTTAGCTAAGGAGCAATTTATGGTTGATGACTGCTGGGGGAGTGTGGGGAGCCGCCCCCACATTCTCCGTTACAAGATGGCGCTGACACCCATTGTCGGTTGGAGTAAACAACCTTGGTGCGCACGTGCCTGCTACTTTTCCATCCCTTACTCTCTGCCTCTCCCGTGGCGTCATATGGGCTGACGAGCAGGAGCCAGTCAGGAGATGACACGTCTGAGGCAGGGACTGCTGAGCTATATAAGGGTTGGGCTTTTCGCTCCCCGGGGTCTCTGCTCTGTAAGCTTATGCTCTCCCTCTCAAGATGCATTAAAGCTGTTCTGCAGAAGGATCCTAAGTGTGCCGCGTCGTTCTTGCTGGTGAGACGGTAGCGCGGGACAGGGGAGATTATCTTTTTTTCCTTGGGGAGTGTAGACAATGGTAGATTGACCACACTACAGAAGAGATGGCCTCATGAACAGCAATAATTATACTCAGTGGGATAACTAAAAATGGGGAAAACAGAGAAAGAGGAGGAGAAAGATGTTGTTGAATATTTGTTTACCTGTGCAAAGATGCGTTGCATTTGTTAAACTACATAAAGATGTGTTGCTGTTTTACCCTGCCTGCCTAAGGCACCTGATTGGTCTAATAAAAAACTGAATGGCCTATATCAGAGGAGGAGGTATAGGTGGGATTTTCAGGTAGAGACAGTAAGTAGAAGGAGGAATTTAAGCTCTGGGGAGGAAAGGAAAAGAGATGCCAGGGAGACACTGAGGTCCAGACAAACATGGAGGAAACAGGAAAGTAGGAAACATAGGATGAAAGAAACATAAGAAAACAACCCAAGGCAAATGTAGATGAATAGAAACAAGTGAAATTAAGAAAGCTAGTGGGAAGCTGGGCTTTGGTGGTGCACACCTTTAATCCCAGCACTCCAGAGGCAGAGGCAGGAGAATTTCTGTGAGTTCGAGACCAATGTGGCCTACAGAGTGAGTTCCAGGACAGCCTCTAAAACAATACAGAGAAACCTAGTCTCTAAAAACCAAGAGAGAGAGAGAGAGAGAGAGAGAGAGAGAGAGAGAGAGAGAGAGAGAGGGACAGGCCTAAGCTAATGCCGAGCATTCATAATTAACAATACATCTCCATGTCTTTATTTGGGAGCTGGTTGGTGATCCAAAGAAAATTCCAACTACGGGTGGGGTAGAAGAAAAAGGAGAGGAGGAAACATGAATTTGGGAGGAGAACATGTTGAGGGGGGCTCTAGGGAATCTTGGAAGCGGAAAATGGAAGTATATGCTCAAAATAAATTATACATATATTTGAGATTTTTTTATTTTAAATAACATTATTTTAAAAAATCATGACAGAGTTTTATCAAGAATTCAAACAAATATCCAAGTAACAATATCCTGCTTAGCATTATTAATAGAAGTCACAAAGTGCTTGTTAGAGTGTAGCTCAGTGTTACAGTTTTTGCCTGGTGTTCCCAAGGTACTATGTTCTATCCCCAGCACTGGGAAAAATATGTGTGTGTATATATCTTGGACTGGCAAGATAGGTCCATGGAGTCCAGTCCCTAGAACATACATGGTGGGAGAAGGGATCCAAATCCTACAAGATGTTCTCTGATTTCTGTAATCACCATGGCAGCCACATGACAACACACAACAAATGAGTTGTTTAATTAAATCTAAGTTTTAAATGATAATGGTAATTCCTCTTGTGTCCATGGAAGAACAGGCATAGAAAATGCAGTGAATATGACTTGACTGAAGGAAATTTCACTCTTGTCACTGACATCAATGTCAAGAGTGTTTGTTGAATGAACCAGTTCCACTTCTTGAAGTCAAGGAGACTGAGTCCACCTGCAGCATAGATGCAGCGTGAGCACAATTGCATCATTTACATTATTATACATCTACATTATTGTACTATATATACTATATGTCTATATATACACATATATACACACCCATATATTTAGCTAAATATCTGTATTAATATACATCTTTATTATACATTAAATATTATTACTATATCTCCAAAATAAATTAATATATTCTCTAGTAATAACTATAATTCTGTTCAGTAAAATCTATTGAGTGTGGTGATATATTATTTATGACTTATTAAAGCTTCCCTGAGGACTCATAAAGCAAGATCAGCAACAAGCCATAGCAGCTGGGCACACACCTTTAATCCCAGAAGCCAGAATCTAGGAAGTAGTGTTACATGCTTTTAATCCTAGGACTCAGAAGTAGATGGATCAATGTGAATTCAAGGTTACCCAGATCTAATCAATATTGAATCAGTCCATAAGAGAATTATAGCTTACACCCTTTATCCCAGGACTCACTTGAGGTATATAAAACAGTAGCAAGGTCTCAATATAGAGCATTTATTCTCCAGCCACATTGAAGATTCTCCAGACATGCTGAGGAGAGGCAGCAGGATCAGCACAAACAGCCTCAGCTAGAGGTGAGAGCTAGTGGCCTGCTACTTTGCTCTTCTATTCTTCAGCTTGAAGTTTCAACCCCAGTTTCAGTCTCTGGGTTTTTATTTTTCATGTTACAATTGAAGATAAGTAACATCTCTGTAAGATATTTATCTCACCACATGTAAATTCACAAGTGGACAACATTTTCTCTCATGTACAGATAACCAAGGCAATGTAAATTTAAAGGCTAAAGTGCGTGGTGGGGAGGGTTCATTTGTTTTGTCCAGACAAAGTTTCTTTGTGTAACCCTGGCTGCCTTGGGCTCTGTAAATTAGGATGGCTTCAAATTAAGAGATCCACCTGCCTCTGCCTCCCCAGTGCTGGCATTAAAGTCATGCTCCATCAGACACAACTGAGAGCTGAATTGCTTTATGCAGACAAGTATTGAAGAAGCAAAACTCCAAGAGTCAGAATGGTCATAGACAGACTCAGATACAGAAGCAACTATAAGTAATTTCTGTAAACTAGAGTCCATTAGTAAATGTTTTAAAAAAAGAATAGCACAAGGAAAGGTGAGATAGTGAAATCAGAATAATTAACTAACAGCATAAAAATCGCATGCCAGGAAAATAAGCCATATCATGCATAGTTCCAGAAAATATTTTTCCTTGACAAACTGAATAATTTGGGGACAGGTGCACACCTTTAATCCCAGCACTTGGGAGGCAGAGGCAGGCAGATCTCTGTGAGTTTGAGGCCAGCCTGGTGACTTCCAGAACAGGCTTCAAAGTAACAGAGAAATCCTGTAACATGAAAAATAAAAGACACACAGACTGATACTGGGGTCCAAACTTCAAACTCAAGATCAGAAAAGTAAAACAGCCGGGCCACTAACTCTTACTTCTGCCTCCGGCTAAAAGGGGATCCTGGCTGCACCAAACCTCACACTACAATCCTACACAGCTATGCTCTATACAACCTGGCTGGAGAATCCTGAGACGGACTCCTAAAGACCATGCTCCTATTTTTTATACCTCTCTAGTGCTGAGATTCAAGGTGTGAGCTCTGCTGTTCATTTAGACTGATTAAATCTCGCTGAGCCCTGGGTGGTCTTGAACTCAGAGATCCATCTGCCTTTGTCTCCTGAGTCCTGGGATTACAAGTGTGTATCACCACTGCCTGATCTCTATAGCTTGAGGTGTCATTGCTTTCTGAATCCCCATGCAAGCTTTAATAAATCTTAAATGATATATTACCTCAAAACCTTATCTTGAAAAACCAATACAATAAAATGAAAAAAAATGATGGTAGGTGGTCCATTGGAAAGTTGAAAAGTAAGAGTCACACAATCCCAATTCGGATCAGGAAATTAAATCCATGAACAGTCACTTTACCTTATCTTTGCATTCATTTGGTGAACTGGAACCACGGGAGTTGGATCCACCAGGTGTCCTTCAGAGAAAAAACGTACAATATACATGGTTGAGTATGTTTCTCTAACACTCTGTGGTGTGCAGGGCTGCTGTGGGTTAAATGTGTTTTTGCACTGATGGGATTCCTCTTGCAGTTTAAATAAGCTTTCGGTTATCACATTCTACCCTCACTACTCCCAAATATTCAGGAAAACATCACTCACAGTTCTAGTTAGCTATCTATTACAATCCAACTTACAATCACATTAGGTAATGTTTTCAAGGTCAAACAGATACATTGTAGCTCCATCTAGTTTCCTGCAAATTTCAAAATTTTTGTCTCTATTAGCAGCTGAATAATACGACATTGTGTAAATATGCCATATTTTCATTATTCATGCATCAATTTTGCAGGTATCTTGGATTAATCTAATTTGTGACTATTGTGAATAGAGCAGCAGTGACCATGTGTAAGAAAGTATTTCTGTAATAAGATGTATGGTTCTTTGGGTATCAGACAGAAGTGATACAGCTAGATCTGGTAGTAGATCTATTTCTAGCTTTTTGAGGCACCTCCACACTGCTTTCCATAGCAGTTGTACCAGTTTGCACTCATACCAGCAATGAATAGTGTGCCTCTTTCTGTATGTCCACACCAGTATCTACTGTCATTCTTTCCTTTTTAATTTAAATTAGAAACAAGCTTGTTTTACATGCCAATCCCAGTTCCATCTCCCTCCACTCCTCTCCTGCCTCTCACCATTCCCCTATACCATCCACTTTTGCTCCCCAGGGAGGGTGAGACCTTCCATAGGAGATCTTCAAAGTCTATCACACCATTTGGAGCAGAGCCTAGATCCTCCTGCATGTGTCTAGGCTGAGAGTATCTCTCTATGTGGAAGAGGATCCCAAAGTCTTTTCATGTACTCGCGATAAATACTGATCCACTACCAGAGGCCCCAAAGATTAACCAGACCTCCAAACTGACATCCTCATTCAGGGGTTCTGGAACAGTCCAATGCTGGTTTCCCAGATATAAGTCTGGGGTCCATGAGCAACACCTTGTTAGGTCAGCTGTTTCTGTGGGTTTCTCCTGTCTGGTCTTGACCCCTTTGCTCATCACTCCTCCCTCTCTACAACTGTATTCCAGAGTTCATCTCTTATGTAAAGAGAAGATTTTTCCTTGCCAGCGGCTTGGGTTTTCCACCCGCCAGTCTCCTGGGCTCTGCTGCGTTGTAGTCCCCAAATAACACACAAGATGCTCTATTAATTATGAAGCTGTTGGCCTTGCTTGTTTCTTACTGGCTAGCGCTGACTTAAGTATTTATCCCATAATTGCTAATCTAAATATTTCTCTTACTGGAGAAGTTTTTGGGCTTCTTATCCCTATGGCGGTTACATCTTGACTCACTGTGTTTCTCCTACCCTGAGTCCTCCTCGACTCCTAGTCCCACCTCTCTTGCTTTCCTATTGGCCAACAGTGCTTTATTGACATATACACAGGACTTCCCCAACACATCTCAGTGTTTAGCTGTGGGACTCTGCTTCTGTTTCCATCAACTACTCGATAAAGGCTCTAGGATGGAATATAAGGTACTCGTCCATCTCAATATCAGAGAAGGGCATTATGATAGCTTTTCGACTGTTGCTTAGAATGTTAGTTGGGGTCAACCGTGTAGATTTCTGGACATTTTGCTAGTGCCAGATTTCTCTTTAAACCTATAATGGCTCCTTCTATTATGATATCTGTTTTCTTGCTTTCCTCTGTTCTTCCCCTGACTCCATCTTCCTGCTTTTTCCTGTCCTCCTCTCCCCTCCTCTTCTCCCCTTCTCTTTCTTCCATCTCCCGCTCCCCTCCCACCATGTTCACAATTAGCTCAGGAGATCTTGTCCCTTTCCCCTTCTCTTGGGGACCATGTATGTCTGTCTCTCTTAGGGTTCTCCTTGTTTCCTAGTTCCTCTGGTGGTGTGGCTTGTAGGCTGGTACTCCTTTGCTCTAAGTCTAAAATTCATATATGAGTGAGTAAATACCATTTTTATCTTGTTGTGACTGGCTTACCTCACTCAGGGTAGATTCTTCTAGTTCCTTCCATTTGCCTACAAATTTCAAGTTTACATTGTGTTTTTTTTCACCTAAGAAGTACTCTATTGCGTAATTGTACCACATTTTCTCCATCCATTCTTCAGTTGAGGGACGTCTAGTTTGCCTCCAAGTTCTGCTTATTACAAATAATGGCTCTATGAACATGGTTGAACAGATGTTCTTGTTGTATGAATGTGCAACTTTTAGGTATATTCCTATGAGTGGAATTGCTCCATCTTGTGGTACACTGATTTCCATTTTCTGGAGGAACTGACATACTGATTTCCAAAGTGACTGTATGAGTTTGCACTCCAACCAGCAGTGAAGCAGTGTTCCCTTTTCTCAACATCCTTTCCAGCATAGTCTTTCATTGGTGTTTTTGATATTAGCCATTCTGACAGGAGTGAGATGGTATCAAAGAGTTGTTTTGATTTGCATTTACCTGATGGCTAAGGATGTTGAGCACTTTCTTATTTGTCTCCCAGCCATTTTAGATTCCTCTATTGAAAAATCTCTATTTAGTTCCATGCACCACTTTTTGATTGGAACCTTTGGTGTTTTGGAGACTTGCTTCTAGAGTTCTTTGTAAATTTCGGAGATCAGCCCTCTGTCAGATGTGGGGTTGGTGAATTTTTTCCCATTCTGTTGGCTGCCATTTTGCCTTATTGACTGTATACTTTGCCCTACAAAAGCTTCTGTTTCAGGAGGTCCCATTTATTACTTGTTGATCTCAGTGTCTTTGGTAATGGAGTTATGTTCAGGAAGTGGTCTCCTATACTAATTTGTTCAAGGGTATCACCTACTTTCTCTTCTAAAAGGTTCAGTGCGGCTGGATTTATGTTGAGGTCTTTGATCCATTTGGACTTAAGTTTTGTGCATGGCAATAGACATGGATCTATCTGCAGTCTTCTACATGCCAGCATTCAGTTATGGTAGCACCATTTGTTTAAATATTTTCATTTTCCATTGTATAATTTCATGTAAATCACATGTTCATAGGTATGTGGAATAATATCAGGGTTCTTCAATTTGATTTCATTGGTCTACATGTTTAGCTGTTTTCAGGACTATTGATCTATAATAATCTACTTTAAAGTCAGGGATGCTGAAGCCTCCAGATATCCCTTTATTGTACTGGGTTCTTTTGGCTATGCTGGGCCTTTTGGTTTTTTTATATAAAGTTGATAATTGTTATTTCAAGGTCTGTGAAGAATTGTGCTGGAATTTGATGAAGATTGCATTGAATCTGTAGATTGCTTTTATCAAGGTTGTCATTTTTACTATGTGGATCTTACCTATGCAAGACTATGCTAAATCTTTCCATTTTCTGGTATCTTCTTTAATTTCTTTCTTTAAAGACTCAAAGATCTAGCTCTACAAGTCTTTTACTTGTGTTTGGTTAGTGGTACCACAACGTATTTTATGTTGTTTGTGGCAACTGTAAAGAGTGATGTTTCTCTGATTTCTTTCTCATCCCTTTTAATATCTGTATATAGTTAGGCTCCTAATTTTTTTGCTTTGATATTGTATCCTGCCACTTTGTTGAAGGTGTTTAACGGCTGTAGGAGTTCCCTGGTAGAGTTTTTCATGTCACTTATGTAAACTCTCATACCATCTGCAAATAGTGAATGTTTGACTTCTTTTCCAATTTGAATCCCCTTGATCTTTTGTTGTCTTTATTGTTCTAGCTAGAACTTCAAGTACAATATTAAATAGTTATGGAGAGAGGGGACAACCATGTGTCATTCCTGATTTTAGAGGAATCTCATGGAGTTTCTCTCCATTTAATGTGATATTGACTGTCAGTTTGCTATATTTTGCCTTTATTATGTTTAAATATGTTCCTGTTTTCCCTGATCTCTCCAAGACATTTATTATGAAGGGGTGTTAGATTTAGTCAAAGGCTATTTAGCATCTAGTGAGATGATCATGTTTTTTTTCAGATTCTTTATATGATGAATTACATTGATGGATTTTAGTATGTTGAACCATTCCTGCATCCCTGGGATGAAGCCTATTTGATCATGGTGGATGATTTTTTCTGATATGTTCTTGGATTTGATTTGCCATTATTTTATTGTATATTTTTTATTGTCTCTGTATCAGCTTTCAACCCTTGCAGTGTTTGAAATGTTTCTTGCAATTTTTGCTTTGTCTTTTCCTCCATTTATTTAATTTTTTGGTTTTTTTTCTTTCATTTCTTTAAGGGATTTTTCCATATCCTCTTTGAATGCTTCCATCATTTTCATGACATTGTTTTTAAGGTCATTCTCTTCTGCTTCAACTGCATTGTGATTTTCAGGTCTTGCTGGTGTAGATTCTCTAGACTCTGACAGTGTCATATTGGTTTTTCTGTTGCTGAGTGTGCTTTTATGTTGTCTACTTGCCATCTCTTCTTCCACTGGGTACAGAAGGAGTCTCTTCCTCTCCTGGTGGCTATGGGACCAAGGTTCCCTTCCAGTGGGTGCAAGCAGGTCCAATACTCTGGTGGCTCTCCTCTTCTTGTGGATAGAGGCAGTCCTAGTACTGGGGCCTTGTCAATCTCAGAGTGGGCTGGACCCCATCGGGATGGGATCAGCAGTGCATAGTCCCCAGGCCTCAGCTGAATCCAAGCAAAGCACTGAAGGTGGGACTGAAACAGGCCCAGGCTTACCTAGTCCTGTGGGAAGAGAATGGGACTAGGATGCTGGCAGTCTCTGGGTGGGGTGGATCCTGCCAGGATGGGATCCTCAGTGTACAGTCTTCTGGTCTCAAGTGGTTCCTGCAAGGCACTGGAAAGCCTAGCCCAACATAGGCTCTATTCATGACAATGAAATATGTCTGCTCCTGGCAGCACTAATCTACTTAAGAGAAGATGATGAGCATCCAAGAAACTCACATGGAGTTTACTTTCTTTGTGGTAAAGGTAAGCCAGTGGACAAGAAAGTGCAGTTGCCTCAACTGCTGTCCAAGTTCGACAAACAGGACACAAAAAAGGGTGACTAAAAATCCTTGACAAGGCAAGGCAGGATAGCCCTTGGGGGAATCCTGCTTCACAGAAACATCTGTCAGAGACTTATAGGCAGATGATACATGCCCCAACATTGCAGAAGAACCTTGGGTGACTGTCCAGGTAGCCAGCTGTTTCTGCTATTTCTCACATTTTTTGGAAGTCTCTTGCTAGCACTTCCTGCTTACTCAGTTAATATTATTTCCTTCTAGGGCCTCTCAGGGAGTTGAAGACTAGATAGTTGTAGGTTTTATTGTTTTCCAGACTCAGAAAAGAAATTCACTAAAGATATGCAAAGTATAAAAGGCTGACACACATTAAATGATAATTTGATAATGCAAATTAGAATATAATATTAATTAGGTACAAGACTTTGAAGTCACCAAGATAGAATAATGCAGTATTTTCTGAATTTGTCAAATGCAAATGGATTAAGATATTTTCTCTGTATTTGTCAAAGGCAAAAGGAATAGACATTGTGGATGAACTTGTATGTATTGTATATACTTAATGTGTATAATTTTTCTTATGTTAGTTGTAGCTTCTTTTTGTATTAGACAAAAATGGGTGATATATTATTTATGATTTATTAAAATTTGACTGAGGGTTCAGAAAGCAATGTCCGCCATAGAAGCCAGGTGTTGGGCCTAAAAAGGCTTGTATGTGAGGCCCAGTCTAACTTCTATGTGGGGATGACTCAGCAAGGCTTGATGTATGACTGCCCCATGCATAGCTACCTGCCACCTTGGTGGAATATTATTGGCCCTTACTCCTCACATCATCACCTTACCCTATCCTAAAATTCCCATCCACTAACTCAGCTCTATATAAGTTCCTGCATGTTGGAGTAAATCGAGATGCTGCTTCAACAAGCTTCACACTCAGTGTATGTTTTCTCCCCTGTAACTAGTTGGGGTGAGGGGTTCTGAGTCATTGGCACTCACCATCCTGCTAGAGACTGACTAGACTGGCCCTTCCCCTGCTCTACCTGCTGGAGGATCCAGCATCAAAGCACACATCTTTAACCCCAGAAGGCAGAAGCTAGGACATAGTGGTACACACCTTTAATCTTAGGACAATGATTAAGAGGTAGACCAATCTCTCTGAGTTCAAGACCACTGAAGATACATGAGATTGAATCAGTCTGAAAGAGTAACAGATCACATGACTTTAATCCCAGCACACGAGGGGTATAAAGACAGAAGGAGGGTTTTCTGTATTCAGTAGGAGGCGATGATTCACTGGCCACACTGAAGATAAGTCCCAGATCAGGCATTTATTCTTCAGCCAAACTGATGAGAGAAGCAGTTTGAGACTGGGTGAAGAGCTCCTTCATTGGTCATCCCTTTCAGCCTGAGATTCAGTTTGAGGCTAGTGGCTGACTGCTTTGCTTTTCTATCTTCAGTTTGAGATTTGAACCACAATATCTCTCTATGAGTTCATTTATTTTCCATGTTACACTGCTATGCTCATTTTCGTGTTACTCAGTCTTGATAATTGCCTCTCTATATAATTGAAAGTATATCTTGGCATCCTACTAAGAATGTCTAATTGTTCTTCATACCTACTTAATGGTTTGGGCTTGAGTGATTGTACCCACCATAGAATGCCACGAAGAAAAATACATAAAAGCATTAACCTTACCTCTCTGGTTCATTTGCCATTGGAAAAGCCTCTGCCTGCCTGGAGCTGCCCAAGAACACCAGTCCTTGCTCACAACACTCATTCAAGCGTGAGCTAGCTCTCTGAGATTTGCCTCCACCTTGGCATTCACCATGTAATTATGGATGATGTGATTGCTCCCAGCTAAATTAAAGCTTCTTGAGGATGGGCTATGTCTTTTACATCTAATGCCCCAAACAGTAAATAGTATTCCAAAAGAATATTTAATTTCCCAGAAATGCCATGCCTCACATAAATGTCATGTTCATCTATAAAATAAACTTGAGCAGGACAGGTGCAGTATGAAATATGGAGACATATGTGTAGTCTTTATATCTGCTTTTGTGGCAAACATTCAGTGTCCTGCCCTTGACAGAATTCCAGAAACAACTACATTTCTACCAGGCAGTGGAAGAGCTAAGTAGACTCTTTCTATTTACAGTAACAGGAACCCACAGCAGACACTCTGCTCCAAATGGATCACTTAGGACAAGGTTGTAAATTAGATGGCATGGGATGTAAAGGAACTCTGGTAGCTTATTAGCAAAAGGTCCATGGGATTTTTCCCATCATAAGAAGAGTAATATCTCATTCATAAGATCTCTTATACACATCTGACACACATTTATTTAAAATTTATTTTTAGGTCACTTCCTTTTTAGTTACTACTTAAAGTTATTTTTACTTTTAGGCAAATAACAAATGAGAAATAAAATATAATTTTTATCAGTACAAAATCTGATAATCATCCTTGTGGGTCATTTTAGCACAATGAAAACCACTAACCTAACTGAGTGTGGGAGAGAATGCCATTAGCCTCAGCATTTGGAAGGGTGAGACCAAGTTCCAGGACAACCAGAGCTACACAAACACACAGAAAGGCATGATGGAGAATGGCCATAAGCCCAGCATTTTAGAGATGAAGGTAGGAAGACCAGTGCCATCCTCATCTACATAAAAAGTTCAAGGCCAACCTGGACTATATGAGATCCTGTCTCATAAACCAAAAAACAAACAAGCCAGAAGGTTCTCGTCAGCATTTTATGAATTCTGTGGTTATATATTTACAACTTCCAGAGTAATATTGCCAGCAATTCTCTTTATAACATTCATCACAGAAGTAACCATGTAATCAAAGGAAAGTGTGAAATATCATTGGGAAGGAAGGAGGTCCCATCAAACCTCACTCTTCTAGAGATATTTCAACTTCCTGAAATTTGAGAATTCATATATTAAACTTACATTTACAGAGATTCCAATGTCATAGTTGTATCAGAATTTCAATGAAATATTTTTAAATATCCATGTGCAAGGCCTTATTAGATTTGGTGAATCAAATTATGTATATGCAAATAAGTCTTGGTAAGGCAAACCCAGTCCAAATAGTTTGGAAAATAAAGCTGTGTGGTCTCTACCTTGTTCTTTATGCTGGTATTGGCATTGTATTCCAGGAGTTTTGATACCATTGAGATGTTCTCTATATAAACAGCATAGTGCAGAGCTGTGCTCCCACTGTTGTCAATTGCATTTGGATTGGCACCATGTTCTAATAAAATTGTCAGACATTCTTCATGGCCATACTGTGAAGCCTGTGGGTATTATATCAAGTAGTACATTAGAAAGATAAGAAACTCAAGATGAGAATTCCATGGATTTCACTAATTATTTGCATTTAGTTGAGAAAATATCATGTTTGTTCTCAGCATTTACAGCAAATCCATGTCATACTGAAACTGTTAGCTACTATTTACCTTAATTAGTGATGTACTTTTGTAACTATCACGGAGCTCAATGTCACATATATATATGTGTGTGTGTGTGTGTGTGGGTGTATATATATATATATATGTGTGTATATACATATATATATATATATATATATATGTGTGTGTGTGTGTGTGTGTGTGTGTGTATGTGCACTTGCAAGTGCCTTTGTGTGTTCTGGATCAGTGATGCTAGCTAATCTTCACAATGTTTCTGTTTTATTATTGGCACATCAAGACCCACAGTTGTGAGAGGTTTGTCTTTTAAAGAGTTACTAAATAGATTGACTGTGATTTGTTTATTAAAATAAACATGTATATCAACACTCAGGAAGCTATGTTGATTTGTTTTAAGTGTCTGTTTGTCACAACTTAGAATCACCTGTGACCAGAACCTCAACTGAGGAATTACATAAGTCATGTCTGCCTGTGGGAATGTCTGTGGGGTATAAACTTGTTAACTGATATAGAAAGACACGGCATGGGTGGCACTATTCCCTAGGCTGGGACTTGAGTTATGCGAGATCAATGAAAGCTAGCAGTGAACAAAGAGGTTGCATTTGATTCACTCTGTTCTTGACTTGAGGATATGGTGTGACCAGATCCTGCTTCTGACGTCTCTGCTATGAACAATAACCTAGAATTGCCAGCCAAATAAACTCTTTGCTCACCCTGACAAAAGAAATGAAACTATGACAATAGTTAAGTGACCTTTAAGAAGTTTCAAGGCTAGTA